GAAAGCACAGCCACCTTTTGATGTGTGCCTTGAGCACAGGGACAGGTATTCTCCAGCCACTTCTACTCTTGGAATGCCTCACAAAACAGGAGTGACTAGAAAAGCAGATATCTTAAGATGGGCTTCCCTAAATCATGGAATAGACTGCTTGAGCTTTCCCCTCTAAAGCAAAGCAAAGATTGACAGTTCATCTGAGGACACGCTCCTTCACTCCCAAGTCTCAGAAGAACCAGCAGACTAACAGAAAACAGAGGTATGCAAGACTACGAGGGTCTTGGAGTGCCTTAAGGTTCACGGAACTCCCGCCTAGTCAATCAACACAACTAAAAAAGTGCAAAAGAATACAGTTTTCACCTCCTGACCCAGTCAGGTTATGAACACAAGGTGGGCTGTGTAGAAGAGATCAGGAAGAAGGCTTCTCTCACCATGGTCCTAAAGACATGAAAAGAGCTATCATTTCACACCATCCACCGACTGTGAATTCCACAAGCAAATGGGAAGAAGTTTTGGAAAATACAGTTGACTGCCTGTTACAATTTTCACCCAGTTCAGGGTAAGTTTGGCTTTGCTTTCCTCCTCCGCAGGCATACCTATATAGTTCGGTCCTCACGGTATACCTGCTCACTTGCTCACTCGCCTAACCAATATTTTTCTTAACGAGAGCGCCTTCTTTTTGCATCCTGGCAAACACCTTGTGTGTACACTCCACCCACACCCACCACATTTGAAAGCTGTTTATAAAGGGATTTCTTTCAATACGCACTTATTGGAATTATGCTCACTTCCGCAGGACCTTAAGCATGTGGCTGATATATGAGAGCTGAGGAACGTGCAAGCACTTCCAACACGCTGCAAAGAGATTGCTTATTTTAAGGAGATAATCTCATACATGCTTCTCCTTGTGATTATATCTGACAAGTTGCTGCTCTCTGTGGTTGGATGGACTCCTGATTCATTGTGTAGCACTGGGAACTGATCAAAGAGTTCAGCAAAATATGGTGCTAATTTATGTACCTAGTCAAGACCAAAGCACTTGACTAACGAGAAACACCTATGGCAACCAAATAATAGACAGCTAAAGCTCATGTTGTGCAGCCAGATCCTCAATTTTTAGCTGATGGTGAATTTTTAATGCAAGCATTACAAGCCCCACTCAGCCGCAATTTTACATCCGTGTTTTATTAGTAAGTTTGCATCAGTTCTTACTTTCGCCTTTAAAAATAGGCAAAGATATTAAAGCTAACATACACCTTGCATCAGTCATAGGGAGAAGGGAAAAATTAATTACTGGGTGTAGAGAATACTTCGCATTACAGTATTGGTCATCAGATCTCTCCCAGTCAAAGTTCTATCCTGCTGAGTTAAAAGGAGTGAGGTCTAGCCTAGACTCTGTGATGCCTTTGCTATTTCCCCCCTCACAGGGAAAGCACAATATGCAAAACACTATATTCCTACATTTTATAATTAATTTTCGAATGCTTCACCTATACATATTTTAATAATTTCTGATTTATCTGATGGTATCTATAATAAAATTTTCTATATTTCAATAAATGAAAAGAAGGCTGTTTCAATCCAACAACAGAGTGTCACACAATATAGGCCTGTCAGGCACCAATTTTTACTTCTAACATGTAAGTTAAAGGATAAGGAATTTATAATGCTGCCTGTGAACGAAACCACTTTTCATACACAAATGTGATCTTTTTTCCCCCCAAAGGGTAATACAACAGTACATTTACATAAACTAATCCAAACAATCTATGTATTTGACAATGGCAAACCTCACACAGACTGCCTATTGTTGGTTTACATCTTGGAGTTCTTTATGTTGGCTTGTAACACTGCTCTAGCTGTCAAAGGTTTGACTTGGACTCTAAATAAATGGTTATACAAGTGCTGTGCAGCGATATTGGACTTCTTTGGAAAAGAAAACCTGCTGTGTATGAATTCAAAAGCTATTAATTTTTCAGTCAAAAATATTCATGCCTATTTCTTTTAATAGAGAAACACTGTGCTGAGCAACTGAGAGATAATGTTGACTAGTGGTACAGAATTTTCAATAGAGCAGTTAAAAATAAATTTAGTAGGAGGTCCCCATCAAAGCTATAATTTTCCAGAATGTAAAACATTTTTAATACTAATCAAGAAAGTGCATCCTCCCTCCCACATTGCCTAGATCAGTTTTCCCCCTTTTCCTACTGCTTTTTCCTGTTTATTAGCTGTGTTGCAGTACTTTATCATGGCATCCCCAACTGGTACAGCTGGAGCTCATGGTCAAAAGTTCCCAGATTTTCAGCAGCCGGATACTGGTCAGATGTCTGAACACTACGCATTAACTTCCTATAGATTATAATCCCTATTGCGTGGATGACGCTTGTCCACATGTCCACTATAAGAAGCCTTGAAGTACCATTCCACGAAGTCATACAAAGCTTTAGCAGTGTAATTATAAAGCTGGTATTTAGTGTGGGCCAGGGGGTATGTGCTCAATTGGGCAGAGGTTCTAGATGTTGTTACTTGAATTCATTTCTAGAGTGCTACCACCTTGTAGAGAAGGGGGGTGGGTGTTTGATTATGGGTCCAAGAGAAGAGAGCAAACTCATTATTTCATATTAACAGAGTTGTCGTAGGAGCTCCAGATATTAAGAAACAAGGTTCTTACCAAAGAGAGATGGAGCTCTCCAACTAAGCTTCTCCAAGCAATTCTCTTTTTATCATATGCATATTGTTTAGTGTTTGTTTGTTTTTAGAATAGGGGATTACAGGAAAGCTGCACGTAAGAAGAAAGCATATCTTAACTGTGCATTATACTTAGAGTACCATTATGCTCTTTGCATCACTCTATAAGAATCTACTCTGCAGAAAATCCTTTAATAAGATGGATCAAGAGAGTGAAAGGGATCAGGGATTCTAATGAAATGTTTGATCTTATGTTAAAAAATTAGTTCATCAGTCAGAATCGGAGTTCACATTCAAAAATTTCGATAAGCAAACATCTTAAATGCAAGATACTTTAATTTTACTCCTTTAATTAAAATATCTTAAAATTCCTAATTGCTTCATGTGATAAACCAAGGCAGTGATTTGCCTTATGATTTTAAGATCTGTAAGATTTAAAGGTACACTGTGTTTGATTTTATTCTGAATTATGCAAATATTAATTGATTATTGATGATCTATAGTCAACTTTAATCAATATGCAGATTGTAAACAATATGCAGTGATACAGCACAATAGTCAAGTATTGGTTTACTTGTTGTATTTTTTACTTTTTTGACCAGTCTAAATAAAACAAACACATGACCAACTAAATACAAGTCAAAGACGATTAGCCCAGCAAATATGGTAGCCTGCCTATGAGCAGTTGGTGGACCGAAATTAATGTCTGAAACAGAACACATTATTGAAATAGAGAACATAAAAAATATATAAGCACCCTGCACCTCTGTTTTCCTAGAAGGGAATGTGTATTTTGCAGGTTCCCTGGAGAATAAATTGCTTTAGAACAGTGATTGGGGGGGGGGGACCAATTAGGGGAATAGTAGGCTTTTTCATATTCAAAACCTCTCATGTCATCCCTTAATCTTTTTTTCCCCACCAATACACTTCACATAGACTTAATGTACTTCAGTAGGACCTGCTTAGGAACTACTGTGCTGTTCACCATTATCTCATATTCTCCACGTTTTTCCTGTGCAAATTTTTAGAGTTATTCTAGGCTATGCTTTTAGGAGATAAATTATCTCGCTATAGGGAAGAGACACACCTAAAAAAGAGATGGGTAATGTTGCTGGAGGAGACTCTTGAGAGTCCCATGGACTGCAAGAAGATCAAACCACTCCATTCTGAAGGAAATCAGCCCTGAGTGCTCACTGGAAGGACAGGTCCTGAAGCTGAGGCTCCAATACTTTGGCCACCTCATGAGGAGAGAGGACTCCCTGGAAAAGACTCTGATGTTGGGAAAGATGGAGGGCACAAGGAGAAGGGGACGGCAGAGGACGAGATGGTTGGACAGTGCTCTTGAAGCTACAAACATGAGTCTGACCAAACTGCGGGAGGCAGTGAAAGAAAGGAGTGCCTGGCATGCTCTGGTCCATGGGGTCACGAAGAGTAGGATACGACTAAGTGACTAAACAACAAGTGTTGCTTTCTGCTCATAATCTTGCAAACTGTTCAGGATTTCCTTCTTGAACAGAGTATGAGACACGCCTTCGAGCATTCCTTATGATGTGAATCCAAAACGGATTTATTATCTAGAATATGATAGGTGCTATATAAATATTAGATGATTCTGATCATCTTCATCACTTTGTGTTTGTTCATAACATACTTAAATATCTGGCTTTTATAAAGTGGGGATGGAATTCCATAAGATAGCTGACCAAGTACTGTGGTACATGCTATCTGCATCCCTCATAATATTTATTTTGCCCTGGTAGAGCTCTTCATTTATTTTATACATGTAAATTAGGAGAACAGCCTCTGAGCTAGTTTAAAATGTACGCTTCAGTCCTAAACAGACTTACTGGGAGCTCTCATTGTACTTATTTCTGAGTAGACAGTCATTCCTAAAACAGTTAAAGCATAACTTTAAAGTCTACTCTTTAAAGTCCAGCTGAGTTCGCAGGTAAATGAATAGACTTGTTGGCTTACTTTTTGCAAAATCAAATCAAATACACATAAAACACTTAGGGCTGTATTCAGCGTGGCACTAAGTAGAACATTTTGTTAGTGCAAGGATTTCTCCTTGCACAGCAGAGCATTGTTCCCCCTCTCCTCCTCCCCTGCCCCTCCCATCTGCTTGGGGATTTCCCCCTAACCCTTCGCACAAGTTCTGAGGACAGCACAGGATGTGCACAGGGGAGGGCGCAAAAAAGGAGAAGAATGTGCATGTCTTCACTCAGATGGGTATTTTAAAGTAGCCCACATGTCTTTTATGCTCTCTAGTGGGAAAAGAGGCTGTTGTGAAGCTTTATTCTGTCAGTGCAGATACTTACAGGCTGAGGTGTAGCTTTTGGTTCAGTTGACTTTACATGTAGGTGTGTCATCATAGCTTGCAGGCGCTCTTTGTCTTTTGAAAGCTAAACAGGAAAGAAAAATGGCACAAGTTATTTTTGTGAACAGAATCCAGAACAAACAAACAAAAACTTATTAATTTCTCAGAAATGTTATATGGTGCACGCGCTCTCTCTCTCTCTCTCTCTCTCTGTGTGTGTGTGTGTGTGTGTGTGTGTTTGTAACCAAACTCTAGGTGCTGGGTATCAGCTTTTTGCGAAGCAAAATGCATTAGCTCTCAACTGAAGCAGCTCTAGACCTGCTGGCACCAGTGCGTTCATTGCAGCAGTGACAGCTAAAAGACATTAATGAATCATATTTGCTCACCAACCCTGTTCCAATTCATGGGCAAGAGGCAAAGCACAAAGGAAAATGTGGTCAGTAAAAGAAGTGTGTGCTCTTTTGGTTAAACTTTTAAAATAAACTTAGAAGATTCCCTACCCTCTGGAACTATTCCCCACTGCTCCAATGGTTTTGCCCCCTACCCAGCATCTTCAATGAGAAGGAAACAAATGCTGCTAATTCTCAACTCTTGGGGGGGAAAGTGAAGGTGCACCAAACTTTTGTTTTGCATAGAACAGGAACTGGAGAAAGCTTTAATTGTGGAAGAGGGGGAAAAGAGAAAGTAAGGCTTCCCCTTTTCTTATTCGCATTTGCCTCAGGCCACCAAAATGCATTCAGTTTTGGGTATTGTTATGGGTTCTGTCCTTTATAGCACTGACTGGGGGCTGCTCATATGAGGGGGAAAAAAAGTTTTGAAACTCAAAAGACAATTGAGATGGAATTTTGAAGAACTTATTTTGCTGGTGCATGGACCTCAAAGCACAAAATACACATATGTATGGTTAGAGCCTGTGAGCGAAGCATTATGCAACAATAAAGGCTGCTGGGTTACCTGTATTCCAAGCTTTCTACTCAGGTTATAAAATATCTGGACAGGTGTATTTATTCATTTTAAAATTATGTATTACATTTCAAGAGATTTCAAAGCTATTTGCATTTTTAAAGCAAAATCAAACATATGCAGTATAGCTAAAACACACAGAGCTAAAACAAATAAAACATTAACCAGTGCAGGCCCACACATGCCTTACTCAGAAGTAAGTCACAATGTTTTGAATAGGGATTCCTCTCAGGAAAGGGGGAATAGGACTATACAGAATAAATTTCAGGAGCCATGGAAATGAACAAGACAGATAATCAGATATTTAGAGCAAGGGCAGGACTCTGTAAGTGAAACATTTGAAAGACTTCTGGTTTCAAGACAAAAACATAAAACAAAGAATGAAAGGATTCTTTGGGCTGCTTTTCTGCGGGTCAAAAAGCAATACTAATATAAACCCTTAACTCCATTAGCAACTCCTGTCTATTCAGTTAGATCATCCAGAAGAAGTCGCAAGGGCTTGTTAAGCCATGGATGTGAGTAAGCTGTCATCAGCATGGCACCATAAAGGGCTCCTAAGGTCTGGAAGTTGTGGCTGCTAATGGTATTTTGTGGAGGGGGGGCTGCACTTGTAACTTGTGACTAAATGGTAAACCAGAGGGCCAGTTTCAGGGCTATCTGTGTTATGAATTACGTCTTTGAGAAATTTTCTCCGCTGTGTGCATTGTTTTCTGTATACTACATACTGTGCACAAGCCTATTCCATGATGATTACATACTGCTAGTAAGCAGTTCCGCAGTGGTTCTCTCAAAAGTGCAAACAACCACAATGGAAGAGACACATTTTTCTTATATTATAGCAAACAGGGTTTCTTGTTTGACACACTCTCATTTACTGTTTAAGGATCAATTCCACGAAGAAGGAGAAAATCATGTATTATGTGTGGAAAAGCCCTCAACCTTATGTAAGTTATGAACACAGCTTAGGCTGCAATCCAAACCCCCTTAGTGCAGTGTCCCTCCACCCAGCCGCGTGGGCCAATTTACGAGAGTGTCACCCCAAGGGTGCAGAGCTCCCTGTTCCACCCACTGAATGTGCAGACAGGTGGAAACACCTGGATCCCAATCTTGCCTCACTGTTTTCACTTGATGTCTCTGTGCCTGATCTGAGCCAGCTCCAGGCTGCTCCTGCCTTCTGCCATGAGTGATGGAGTTGTGAATGCAGACCTCTTTAGGAACACAGGTTTGATGAGGCCCTAAGCTCCTGAAGGTAATGGGGCCCTTTATATGTCCAGTTGTCCTTTGTCAACAAATTGTCGCTGTTTTTTGTGTTGAATATCTGCTATATGGTAATTTACGGTAAAGCCATTTGCACATAACAGTCCATGCAGAATGTAGGCATCCTATATATAGCAATGAGCTAACCAGTAATATTTTAGGGAGCAGGCTAGCAGCCGAGGTCCATTACTTACATCATAGGAGCCTACACAACACAAAACACTTGCTGTATGTAGGTTTTATTTTATTTTATTTTTTATCTTCTATTTTGGAAATGTACATCGTTTTTTTCCTTTAATTTTTTGGGGGGCCCCAAGAGAGTGGGGCCCTAAGCTATAGCTTGTTTAGCTCATACGTAAATCTGGCACTGCTTGCATGTGCTGCAATGATCAATAGGAGCTTCCGAAGAATCAAAACAAACATCGTTAAGTTTCAAAACAGGCATGGTTTATTATGAAGATGGCCTGGCACACTAACTTGTTCCAGCACAATCCCTGGTTCACCTGTGATAACAAGCCTCATTGAAATAGAACCTAAACTCTGCCGAAGCTCTGCTTCCTGGTTGTGTAGTAGCAGGAAAAGAGGACATGAGTGTCAAAGGCTCTTAGGACTGAACCACAGTTTAGCATTATGTGCGATTGAAGCCACTAAGTCAGACTATTGGTCCATCTTGTTAAGCATTATTGACACTGTTCAGCAGCCCTCCAGTGTTCGAAAGAAGGGTCTTTCATCCCTGCCTTGAGATGCCTAGAGCACAGGTCTTGCATACACGTGATTTAACCCCTGGCATTTCCAGTTAAGAGCATCAGGTAGCAGGTGATAGGGAATATTTCTGCTACATACTTTGAAGCGCTACTGCCAGTCTGAACAGACAACAGCACCTGAGATTTTAAAAAGTCTGACTTGGTATAAGCTCGTTTTCTATGTATATATGGAGGAAGGTTGTTCTTTGCAGTGTCACCATCAGAAATTTTAATGAAGCAGTGACTTGCATGCATTTGATGACATGGAGTCTAGTCCATGAAAGCTTGTGCCTATTAAAACGTGCTGGTTTTTAAGATCCTACAAAATGTTACATTGTTTTTGCTGCACAGACTAACACAGCTCTTCTGTAGGAATTGGGAACTCTGCTATCTTTCAAGGGCTCCAATCTAGCAGAGCTAACAGAGAAAAGGCAAAATATAGCACAAGGGGTTTTAAATCTATATTTTTGTGAGAATCATACCCAAGGATGAATAATAAACTACAGTTTAAATTCTTCTTTCATTTGGAGATGGAAGCGCTGCAGAGAACATAAGAGGTAAAACTCCAAGTGTGCAAGTTGGGGGTCTCAGGTGTTCATGGCCGGGAAGTACAATATTATTAACATGACATTTATTTTCTACTTGCATTTCCTGGAGAGTTCACAGGAGTCAATCAATGCTCCTTTTTCTCTACCTGTTTTGCAGACAATGCAAGCAGACATAATCTCAGGAGTCAAAGGGCTAACTTGAGATCAGTTAAGTCAAATCTACTACAAACTATGGTCAGCATTTGCTATGAATTAATACAGGGATGGGAAAGCTCCAGACATTGCTCACCTCAAATTCCCATCAGCCTCAACTGACATGGCCAATGGCCAAGGATAATGGGTGTTGCAGTCCAACAACATCTGGAAGGCTACAAGTTCTCCATTCCTGAACTAATGGGACATATAGTCATACCTTGGAAGTCAAACAGCTTAGTTCTCAAACGTTTTGGCTCCGAACGCCACAACCCCAGAAGTGACTGTTCCGGTTTGCAAACTATTTTTGGAAGCCGAACATCTGATGGGGCTTCCAATTGGCTGCAGGAGCTTCCTGTAACCAATCAGAAGCTATGCTTTGGTTTCTGAACGTTTTGGAAGTCGAACGGACTTCCGGGACGGATTCTGTTCGACTTCTGAGGTACAACTGTATATCTGTTCACAGAGGTTTCTAATGATGGAAATGTTCTGGCTGACCATTTATCTGTACTCACAATTTTATTCACTTTAATCAGTTCATTAATTTTGGCTTTACATGTATTTTGGGATCACTCCTCACGTTAAGATTTTTAAGCCGTGGGAAACCATTCACACTCAGGCCCGAAACTGTAATGTGTGACAGCTAACCCAAAAGTATAGGAGCATTTTCCACAAGCAGGAACCTGTCAGAAGCACATTATCTCCCAATGTGAGGTTTTGCATGGAAGTCTTTGGAAAACACTGAAATAGAATTTTCCAGATAACTGAACAGCTGGATACCAGTGGTGGCCACACCAATATTTCAAATGTGCAACCCCAAAAGAAGCCCCCTAGTCCTGTCAACTGCTTAAAGAATATTTAGTTGATTAATCACGATTGATTGATTGAACAATACACTGCTTGACTGTAAAATACCCCTCAAAGAATAAAGTTAGTAGATTAATGTAAAGGCTAGCAATTGAGGCAGGCAACGATGACATAAGGTCCTGCCCCAGCTGGATTGTCCTCTCCTCACCCACCCTGTGGGAAGGAAGGTGAGACGTATGAAGGCAACGATAAGATCAAGGCCTGCTATAGATGGGTGGCTTTCTTCTCCCTCCCCTCCCCCACCACTCCAAAAGAGAAGCTATGCACTTTATATCCTTTATTTGTTTTGGTATTTCAAAACTGTGAACTGCCTTGGAGGAACGGCAGCCTATAAGTGCAATTACAATTGAGAAATAAAGAAATGCACTTACATTTAAATTAAATCAAACATTTAAATTATGTAACTAGATTTTTGATATAGGTATTGCTTTAAGTACTGCTAAAAAGTGTGAAATCACTTGCAATTTACACAACAAATATTACCACTCATTGCTTAGAGGAAAGACCATCTTTAATATTTTCCTTTCCCATGCCCTATTACTTAAACATACTGCAATGAAGATAGCCTGAATACATATGAAATTGCAGCTCCACCAATCAATTTTAGTCACCAATTAATCAACCCAAGTTTTTGTTGCTTAAGGCAACAGCTAAACTAACGACGGCTTGGAGCCCCACGTCTATTTATTTTAAAATTATATTTATATCCCACATTTCCTCCAAAGAACTCAAAGTGGGTTTAACAGTTCTGTTTCCCATCTTATCCTTACAACAACCCTGTGAGGTACGTCAGCTGTGATGATTGACTGACCTGTGGTCATCCGTTGAGCTTCATGGCTCTAGTCCAACACTCTAAGAACTACACCACACTGGCTTTATGTAACATAAAACTTTATATCGTAGTGCTGTTCTAGTGGTATGATCATCATCATGACAGGTAGTGTGATCTTGGTAGCAATTCTCAAGGAAGAGCCTATATACCGTATTTTTCCGTCTATAAGGCACCCCCAGGTATAAGACGCTCCCTATTTTGGGGAAAATTGGGGGTGTTACTATCCGTGTATAAGATGAGCCCAGATTTCGAACATTAGTAAAGGTAAAGGGACCCCTGACCATTAGGTTCAGTCGTGACAGACTCTGGGGTTGCGGCACTTATCTCACTTTACTGGCCGAGGGAGCCGGCGTACAGCTTCCGGGTCATGTGGCCAGCATGTCTAAGCCGCTTCTGGCGAACCAGAGCAGCACATGGAAACACTGTTTACCTTCCTACCGGAGCGGTACCTATCTATCTACTTGTACTTTGACGTGCTTTCGAACTGCTAGGTGGGCAGGAGCTGAGACCGAGCAATGGGAGCTCACCCCATTGCGGGGATTCAGACCGCCGACCTTCTGATCGGCAAGCCCTAGGCTCTGTGGTTTAACCCACAGCACCACCCGCGTCCCTATTTCGAACATTATTTTAGAGTAAAAAAACATAGTCTTCAACACGGAAAAGTACAGTAATTGTGCATGCAGGAATCCCAGATTTGTGTGGAAGCAGCCAACCTGGAATGTGGGACAGGTTATGCTGTCATACTAACTCCACCAGCACTTTACACAAATAGTACATTAAAAATGCATTGCAAAAAATGGGCACCAAAACTATGAATTTTTACAAGGGACTTTCTTCTTCTTTCTTTTTTTTTTTTTAACAAACTAACACAGAAATTTGGTGAACTGAAGGAAATTGACAGATTGGTCTATCCAGTCCATCCATTGCTATTACCTTTTTCATTATGTCCCTACACTGTTTTGATGTCAGAAGTGGAGGTCTTCCAGGACTTATGAGCAAGAGCCAGAGACCACTAACAAGCTTTGCTATCAATTCCCTGCCAAAGTATTTGTTTTTTTCACAGGGTGCAGAAGGGAAGAAATGGATGGGGAGCCAGATCTTTTCACCTGATTGTAGGCGGTATCTCACTGTGGAATTCAGTCTTTTGATACTCAATACTATTTCACACACACACACAAAATTGTTTTCACATTTCCCCAACAATACACATTTTTTGTTAGCACATTTTGAAGCAAAACTGTGTTTTGTTTCGTATACTTATTTGCAGGAAGTGCAGATTACAGAGAATCACATCAAAATGTGGACCAAGTTGAATTTCCCCACACTGTCCCTAGTAAATATCACTACTCCAGACTTTATAGGGAGATCTCTGTATCATATTGGCATCTAATGGGGATAAGTAAGAGATTAATAGCATAGGAACTGGTCCAGTGTGTCATCTAAATCCTCAGTAGTTATTGTCTCCTGAGGATGAAACCCAGGGAAGGAGCAGGAAAAAGGAGTGGGCCATAAGCTCACCAATTCCCTCCCTTGTCTGGACAGCAGGAAGGAATCAACAACTGGACCAGAAATCCTACATTTGTTCATATCTAGATATAGTGAGAAGTCTGGTTGAGCCTGAGGCCTGCTCCTAAGAACTCCCTGTTTACTATCCTGGGAATAAAAGACCTAAGGTAAAGGTACCCCTGCGCGTACGGGCCAGTCGTGTCCGACTCTGGGGTTGCGTGCTCATCTCGCTTAAGAGGCCGGGAGCCAGTGCTGTCCGCAGACACTTCCGGGTCACGTGGCCAGCGTGACGAAGCTGCTCTGGCGAGCCAGCACCAGCGCAGCACACGGAAACGCCGTTTACCTTCCCGCTATAAAGCGGTACCTATTTATCTACTTGCACTTAGGAGTGCTTTCGAACTGCTAGGTGGGCAGGAGCTGGGACCGAACGACGGGAGCTCACCCCGCCGCAGGGATTCGAACCGCTGACCATACGATCGGCAAGTCCTAGGTTTTACCCACAGCGCCACCCGCGTCCCCTATAAATGACCTACAAGGCTGCTAATTTAGGGAACCATCTACCTAAGGCAGGCCTGATATTTTGAGTGCTTTCAATTGTGAAGCCCTTTCTTGCTAAACTTCCAGCTATTCTATTACTGAAATACCTATATCTACACACACACACACACACACAAACACATACACAAATACATTTAAAAAAAAAGACAGGAAATTCACCTTTCTCAAGTTGTAATATACAGGTAATATTTTCCTGATAGATGGACCTCCTCTGAGCTTACCAGCTTAAATTCCATTATTTTTGCAGCCAGCAAGGAAAACCTGTTCCTAACTACGTAACATTTTTCATAAAATAGATCTTGCTGAAGTTTATCATTCCTGCTGTGTTTGATTTTCTAAAAGAAGTTGTATTAAAATATTGTTAATACTAATAAGAGGGCGTCATGACTGTGGTTTTGCAGAAAGTAAAATTTAGGAGGATATCTGGACAAAAGAATTCTAATTTGTGAGATAAGAAGATAAAAGGGAATTTTAAAAAATACAAGTCATGGTTATCTGGGAAAAGTAACAACAAAAAGTTTTAAGTGTGTTTTTGCTGATTTTTCTCTATAACTATTTGAAGCTGTAAATGACTAACTCAGTAAAATTCCAAATGTAATTATCTTCTGCACTTAGCCCACGGCTTTCCATATATCTCTACATTACCATCTTGCATACAAAATAGGATGGATTCTTTTTTTTTTGAATGGTAACTATAGAATGTACAACATTGTTTTTAATTTGTCTTCTTTGGCTAACCTTTTGCCTACTCTCTTGCACACAAAGAAAGTCAATCCACAAAGAGCAATAAGGCATAGACAGGCAAGGGCTTGGAAGGATTTTTAAATACACTTAAAAAGCAGTGATAACCATACTGTAGTTGCACATCTTTATATACTATAAATTCACTCCCTTAATAAATCCTTAATAAGTTATATGCAAAAACAAATCTTTTTTTCCAATAATAGAGGAATTCATATATTTCAAAGTTGTGAAATGTGTGTGTGTGTGTGTGTGTGTAATGAAATGTAAAGAAACGAATGTTTAGCTTGATGAGTAAGACAATCTCCATTCCAATCTTGGACAAGTCTGGAAACCAGTACAAACCATTTCCATGTTTTCACCAATTCTACACACTGGAATACAATGTATACACCCCCCCCAAAGTTTCAGTGTAGAATAAATTGAAGGATAAATTAAATTTGTACTGATAATTTTGAGTAATGTAGTGCATTCAAACTTCCATTTTCTTTTCAGCTTTATATATGAATAAAGAGGGATCCAAGATGGCAATCTTTTCAAATTTTGAAAATGATGGAAGCTCTTCTTTAAATTACAGTTGGGCAAAGCAAAACTCATTTCATCGGACTCAATTAATACTGGGAAATATTAATATAAAATATGATCTTTACCTGCAGCTCTAACTGTTGTACAACCTGCATTTGCACTCTACATTGGGCTGTACTTCTATCATCCAGCGCATGCTCACTGTTGAGATGT